TGTTTGGTTGTTTTATGGGGAAAAGAAATGTTTTGGCGATTATATATATTTTCGTAGTTGCGGGAAATTACGTAGACTTTTGTCCTAGAACTATAAATCGAGGTCCTCGGTAAGAGCTTGACGTTCAAAGAGCTCACGCATATATATGAGATGCATTCAGTCGATTAGTGAATACCGAAGACCCTTCCATACGGAAATAGAATCCGTCGTAGTGATCAAGCTGTGAATTGACAGAATAACCAACGGCTGCTACTAGAAGGGCTTCAGGGACCTCATGCCAGTCCACGTTAAAGCGGTTTTTATCTGTAGCCTGAAAAAAACATGATTAAAAAATGTACTTGTAGTTGTCAAGAAATATACATACTGAAATTGAGATAAGTGGCACACCCAGACCTTTTTCCTGGTCCAAATTCTTCTTCGTTACCATCATATCACTTGGTATCTTCCCCCCTGACATTAAACTGCGGTATCTCAAAAGGTGAGTTTGAATAGACCGAACGGCGACTGATACATGGTCAGCTGCATGATAACAAGCCAAGCCGCTCATGTGCAAACTTACAATATGCCAGTAAAACCAGCATGTTGTCTAATTGCATGAAACCTCTTTCCGAGCTATATCATCTAATATGTCGAAAATGCCGGTCTTCATACTTTCTCTGTCGAATGTCTTCCTCTGTAAATGCGCACAGGAGTCCGGCTGCCTTTTCGTAAGCTGGGAGTTCAACGGTTAATGCCCTGTATAGTCACAAAGAGAGGTACGCATTCCTGGATTACCGTCTACTGGTACGTATTGGTGTCCCAGCATGTGTTCTGTAGTCACGTCTTTCGTGGCCTTCACCCTGGCTACGTCCAGATGAGAGTTCGTCCACTTTTGGGGAGGCTGTAGGAGTATTGAAGTATCTAGCGACGCTTGGACAGCCTGGAATGCTATTGATGAGGAGGAGGCCATGTTAGATGCTTATTGTTTAGTAGGGAATGAAAGTGCATTGAAATGCAGTCAAAGAGCCCTGTCTGATCCTCAGGCAGAAATGGTGGGGCATACGTATGTATGCCTTGTGTATCAAGCATTAACATACAAAATGAGAATTCCTTTCTACGAGAATCACCTCTTACTGCATTTAAATGATAATATCGGATTCCGCCTGTGATGAGTACCACTTCCCATTCTCAAATGAATAATGAATGCTGCGAAATCACCATAATCTCCAGCGACGGCCGAATATCAAAATACGTTATCGGGTGGAATTGTTTCAGCGACTCTGAAACAGGGTCCAACCAATAGATATAAAGACACGGAGCCCGGAGATCGTCCAAGTGCTACTGATCGGAGAATGGCTAGACATGATATCCGGAGATATCAGGACATCGAGAGTCTGCCGAAAACGTGATTAGCCGGAAATTATAAAACCATTCAGGACCCCGCCATGCCAGATAGAGGCCCGTGCTGGGAGGTGAAAGAGTCCAGCCTTGTACATACAAATTTAAGGACGCTGGTCATTATTTACAGGTACCAGAGTACGGGGTGGAAGTATACTACTACTATAGGAACTTTCCCTTTCTGTGTCCGAGTCCTCGCCGCTTTTTGCTCCCTAAGCAGCCCGGAGCGTATCTGGAGCAGGGCGGCATGTCCGGAGCGATCAAAGAACCGCGCTGGAGCGATCCCAGAGTGATCCCAGAATGATTCAGAATCATGACCTGACCTTTCAGGCTAGGACCACTGCCCCCTGACAAGGGGGGCCAGATAAAACGTGCAAAACCAAGCCTGCAATCTCTCCTCACCAGTGTATTCAAAGATGCTAACTCTCCACAAGTGATATTTAGGACTTTTCAGGGCAACAATATGAGCTATTCGGGCTGGTATAATCTGTCAATTCTGGGCTAAGTGTCATGGCCTCCAAAACTCTCCACTCCGAAAAGGCCAAAAACGGTGATTCGGAGGCTAGTGTGACGGTCTCGAGCAATATGAGTATATTGGTAGATTATCTGACGAAATTCTAACATGAGGAGAGAAAAGGAAAGAGGCAGGCCTGCCGGCGACGAGCTATCTAATGTGTGCGAGGGGTTTAAGCGAGGCTCAGTGAATGTCCATGCTCCGTGACAGCTAGGGCGATGAAACTTCGTGGATTCCAACCTGAGGGATATACTCTAGAACTTAACGCTATATAGCAACTATCTAATTGAGCTGTGCGTGTCTCTGAAATAACATGCATGTGATAAGCGTGTCAGGTGCATGCTGATGGTCACTTCGCCAACAACACCTCAATCTACTTAAGCGAGCAGCACCTTTGCTTACCGACCTGCAAGCTTGCATTGGCTATAACAATACCAGACTCAAATCAAGATCCCGATTAGTGAGTCTAGATATTGATCAGTGCCACGAGCATCTCTGTATCCGTACTTCTGAACGCCAGTGGAAAAATGGCCAAGTACTGGTCAACACAGGGACTCAACAATAAGAAGAGTGCCATTGCAGTGAAGCATTATTTGAGAGATACTTTCAGTATAATAAACGTGACTGCAGCGTGTTAATAAGCCAAGGAGTTTAGTTACCTGATTTGTGCACTTTTTTGAGGTGATGATCTACCTCCCCCCACATGTCTACATCTTTACATTATCGACTGAGCTGAATGTTATCGAGAGCAAACAGACTAGAAACACAATGTTTGTTTCTTCATTTACCATCATATCTATAGACCTCTCCAGCGCCCTGTGCCATCACCAATGTTACCATAAGATCTTCAAACGCTGCATGACTCGAATGACCGATCAATCATTCAACCTCGAAGCGGGGATTGTTAATACAACTGAAAATCCTTGCCTTCATGCTACAGGAGAGTGAATCAACCTCGGAGGAACTATCCAGCCCCGCAAAGATCCTCTCTGCACCCCGCAACTTTATACAGCAATGGGCCTCCTTTTGGACCAATGTAGTATGCAACACGGGGCTATTAACACACATGCTGACAGGTCTGGAAGTCTTTCATTTGCTACATGGTACAATTGAATGTTGTTGATTGTCGATGATGACGCTGTACTGCAGTCCTTCACGGGCTACAAGGAGGTATATAATGAAGTCGATGTTTTGGAGGAGGGTTAGATAACCATTGGCCTTGTTTATTCCTTACATTTCTCCTTTCATAGTCCCTTCAAGTTAACTACACTGAATTTCTAAATCAAAAACCACAATGAAGATTTTCCCCTTCCTTACCATAGCAGCCACCACCACCCTAGCCCAAACCACTCTCTTCCCACTCTTCAACGCCGCCCCAACAACCCTCCCTATCACCGGTGCACAAGGCAGCGTTGTCACCGCTGACTCCTCAGCCACCACTATCGCCATCCAATGCATCAAAGGCGACGACCTCTGCCGCCTCAACCAACCCGTCACCGTCACCGAGGGCCCTTCCACGCATTCCATGAGCGCAGTCTTTTCAACACATACACTGGCTCTAAACGGGGTGGCTACCATGATCGAAGACTGCATTATCACATCTAGTACCGTCGGCGCATCGTGCACGGTGTCGCTTACTTTGGAGCTGACATCACCGGCACCGACATCAACATTAACAGGGTCGATGACTGCTGCTTCTGCCTCGGTTTCTACTACAAGCAGGAGTTGGGAGTCCAGTTGTGGATTACATGATATCTATTATAAGCCGTTGACAGTCACGGCGGGGATGGAAAAGTTAAATGTTCCAACTGCAGAGCCAACGGATGCGGGGGCGGGAGCGGGGAAGGGGGAGGAGAATCTGGGGATCGGGAGGGCCGTGGCTGCGGCTGTGGCTGCTGCGGCCATGTATGCATAGTTACTGTTATGGTGTAGTGTAGGTCTATAGCTACAGATTATTTGAACCGGGATTGCTTATGAATGAAGGATGATCCCTTCCTAGCAACTTTTCTTTACATAGTAGCTCAGAGCCCATGCTTACTTCGAAGTCCGAGTACCGATGCGGTCCCCTGCTACGCCTGGTGGGTTAGCAACATTCAGGTAGGCCCATGGATTTATCTATAATGTTCGGGACCATCAGACACGATTCCGGGGTGGACTTTTGCAGATGATTTTGTGAGTGAGGGAGACCAGTAGCCGAGTTGCTCTCCTAGGATTGGGTCATATAAGTAGTGAACACGGACAAGCCTTGACGGAAATGCAGGGTCGATACCGGCCGGTTGGTATAGTGAGAAAGGACGAAAAGGGAAAGAGACAAAAAGGACAACACTGAATATATACCTTACAATCATAGCTGAGTTGCAGGCGCTTTTACTGAACATTTTCATAGCGAAGGTGGCCCCAAGCCTTGCGGCACACAAATATGTCCTCATGCTCGATTGATTGAGGGATTCTCATAAAGGAAGTCCCTGATGCGCTGACCAATCTCATCTTCAATTTGGTAGAACTAGGCACGGTCCAGGTGTCTGTCCAGTGGATCTGCTTCTACTACCGGCTACTGCTGCGATTGTGTTGCCAGGCGCAAAAAATAATGTTACTGGGGATCTAAATATGACATCGAAAAAAGAGGAAAGGAAAACTATCACAACTTCTTCAAAAATCTGGGGCACCTGGCACATAAACAAACTCCTTTACTTCCACTGAAAATAGACGTTGCTCCCCTAGACCTTGCAGTACTTCCTCTAGTAGCTGGTCTAGAGGCGGGAATATTTCAACCACAAAGGTTCGGACATGATTAATTGCCATAATTGTCCGCAAGATGTAGATCAAATCTCCTGTCCAATCTTATATGACCCCATCTGGGAGCTGAGGGTGACCCAGGGATTCTGCAACCCATGCAGGTTCGGGCGTTGTCTGGCCACCCCATCGATTCACTAAAGATATCACCATGCTTCCATCATGCAGAGACATGTCGATGTGGAGGGGGCAGATCATGCGGAGACGATGGGGCAGCAGGGTCTTTTGAATGCCCGCGATGGTTCTCGTTTGGCTAACATGCAAAGTGTTGGTAGTATAGATGAGGCATGTACTACGGTACGGAAGAACATTGGATTTGAATTGCAATCTCGAAAGAGAAAGGCGTCATGATCCGCAATCACAGCACGTGATTCAATATCGAAAAGACCAATTGAGCTCTTTTTGGACGTTCCAACGGCTTTGACCTCAATCAGGAGAACAAGCGGTAAAGAAGGAAACCATGGCTAGCTCGACCGACAGTCACTAGCAGCAGTGGGGAGCTTAATCCCACCGCCTTTAGAGACCGAGGGGGGAATACCCGTCATGATGAGGTTGGCATTTTGAGTGTTGAAACAAAAGAATATGGAGAATAGAGAGTACAAGTAGGGCATCTGTATTGTGTAGAATAGAAGAAGAACACTACTGCTGCAATGCTGTACAGCGGATGGTTGCAGGAGACCACCGGGGAAGAGAGATAGTGACAGCCCCTCTGTTGTTTGTCCAGCACAGGCCACCCCACCTCTCCTCTTCCACTCTGGTCTCTTCCTCTCCTTCACCTCTCTCTCTCTCACTCTCTCTCTATTTCTCCCTTCCAACGTTTTAACCCACAACAAAGGTCCTTCCGCCTTCTCTTTTCTTTTCTGCCCCTTTTTCCTCCCTTTCTTTTAAACCCCCGTCGGTGGTCCTGTCCATCTGTTTCTTTCTCCGATCTCTCCCTATCCTATCCTCCTATCCGAACAACCGTCATCATGGGTGCTCACTCTGCGATCTGGCAAGGTACGATTGATTGTTCTACTTCAGCATGGGATACACCACTTATTATAGAGATTGAATGCTAACTGCTCTTAGGCTATGTTGACTCCAGGTACCGTATCCCGCAACCGTTACCCCGCTCCCGTCACCTCCGTCCGCATCCATAATATAAAACACCCTTCTGACACGCGACTTTTACAGCTTGATGGGCTCCGGCCAGTTTGACAAGGCTGCCATCCTCAGCCACGACTGTTCCGGCGTTGAGGCCGGTTCCCCCGGTTTCACGGTATGCCACCCGGTTTAGAACCCGCTCGGTCTCATCTCGACCGTTACCGGAACTCCGAACATTTATTAACGAGTTCAGATCTCGCCCCAGGAGATCAGTGCTCTGGCCGCTGGCTTCCGCGACCCCGGCTCCGTCCAGGCCACCGGTTTCACTGTCGGAGGTGACAAGTTCTTCGCCATCCGCGCCGACGACCGTAGTCTGTACGGCAAGAAGGTATGCCTGCACCTCCTACCTCCACCTGCACAATGGACACACTAACAATCCGCAGGGCAAGGAGGGTGTCGTTGTCGTCAAGGCCGTCTCCTGCGTTATTGTCGCCCACCACGGCGAGGCCGTGCAGACCCCCAATGCCGCAACTGTTGTCGAGAACCTCGTTGACTACATCAACAACCCCCGGTAAATGCAGTTCGGTGGGAAATGAAAATGAAATGAAGATTTAAAACAGTTGCTCTTGCGCTGTCGATTGTGTGAATATGAATTATGATGGTGGTTCCTTTTTATCTTGTTGTCATACAGATCCGTAGATATCAATGGTGCTGAGAGCAGTGCATTACAGCTAATCCAGACCCCGAGTGCAGCTACTTGGGACTTGCTCTATTCATTTAAATAGAAAGACAGAAATAGACATTAATGATTACTATTCTATGCGTCACGTCATCTCATGCAATCCACCACACCCATATCGACATTACAGGTGCTCAGTGGCCGTGTCAATGCATACATACAATACAATCTATCCCTCAATACACCCCCCTCTATACCCATCCCATACCCCATATCCCTAAACCCAACCCCAAAACACAACTAAACCGGCAACTCAGCATTACTCCTCGTACCCCCCGCCAAAACCTCCAACCCCCTGCGAATATAAGGCCCCACAACCGGAATATTCCCTGCAAACTGCCCAATCGTAATCAAAAAGTCACCGAACAGGATAAACAGGCCGTACAATTCGACTAGGAAACCGGTTAACGGCCAGCGCAGGAGGATGAGGAGGATGCCGGAGGCGAAGGCGATTGTTCCTTTGATCTTTTGGCGGCGGGTGAAGAAGGCAAGGGTCTTGGAGAGACCGATTATTAGGGAAAGGCCGATTAGGAAGAGGATCTGTGTTTTGGGGTAAGTGGGTTAGGATTGCGTTGGTGGGGTGTGTTTGGTTGGGGGACGTACGTTTCCCATGGCGAGTCTGGAGACGGAGCCGTTAGTCTTTCTGATCACATGGCCATGGGACAGGGAACATACAGAGCACGGTCAAAGAACATCAGCACTCCTCCGAAGAGAAACAGTCCGCCTATTCCATCTAGTCAGGGATCCGTTCAGAGCAGATAACCGCAGCGGTTGCACTTACCGGCCGAGCAAAAGACAGCGCCGACTTCTATACCCCAATATCTGTTAGTATTCATCTCGAAGCAGGGTGTAATGAGCAACTGACTCTGGTTCTCCGATAACCACATGGTAGGCATCTTGTCGATTTAGATCCAGATCCAAACAAGGCTGAGCGATATGCTAATGCGAACAGGAGCGGCCAAGGCGTGCGCGGGAACACAAATGGATTTCGACGATAGTGATGTATATTATAACACAGCTGTTATTATAAGTAAGACTCCTGCACGTCCTACGAGTAAGTATGAAATGCCGTCGCAAAGAGGAATATTGTTGACTTTCCTATTCTGCCACGTTCCTCCTAAGTGTGGAGGTACTAGTTTATATAAGGAAGGCGGTGTGTGCGACTTTGGTCAAAAGCGCACATTGCAGTTTCTTATGCTCTCCGTTCACTATCTCGTTGAGAGCGATTGAAAGCGCCACGATTTTCGCTGAGGATGATGATTGCTCAATTGGATGATGCTAAATGCGCATGGCATTCATTATTAGACTAACATTACAGTTATTATCCCCCAATGTTCGATTGAAAGCCCCCAATAGACAACGCCGCGACGACAGCACCCTGTGTGCTGTAACTGATGTTCCAATTCGGTGGAGCATCGGTACTAGTCGAGTGCAAAGCACAAGGCGAAGAGCAATCTTTTTCTTAGGTCACGAATAAGCCGGAGCGTTTTCTTTGAGCCTGTCTCGAAAGGGGCATGGTGGGTGGAAAGGGCTTGACTGTGTTGATCGTACATTCTTCTTATTAGCTTAGCATTAATGTTAAGTTTGCAAATGCCCCAACTTGTTATCGTGATATTCTCGTAAAACAGAACCGGTAGATAGGCTACTTGAGCACAACCTGCGCTCCCCTAACCTCCAAATAACTCTCCGGCACACCTTGTGCCAGCGACCGAATCACCCCAAACACCTCCTTATCATGATACCTCAGCCTCGTCTTCGGATCCGTATACGAAGCCGGCAACCCCGTAATATCACAATACCGCTTCTGCTGCGCAGGATGCAACGACGGCGCAGACTCGATATTCGTCCACGTCACGGACGGTCCTGATCCCAAACCAGCCATCGCGCGCGCATTCGCATTCTTCTCTAGCACAAGGGTTGACAGGTTCTGCGCTGCCTGCGCGATATTCTCTCCCCCCTGTGCTCCTTCAGCAGGTGTCTCTGTGCCGGTGGTCGGTGGGAGGGGCGTTGTTGCGCCGGAATTTGCTTGCGTGGCTAGGACTGAGGCGGTGGCTTCTTTTCTGGAGTTTTCGGAGAGGAGCTGTTTGACGTTTTTGTTGCGGCGTTGCGAGGGGCGCCAGGTGGAGGAGCGGAAGGGGCGGGGGATTTGGGCGATGTCTAGGGTGTCGAGGAGTTTTTGGTGGGCTTCTGTTTCGGCGGGGGTTGGGTTTGGCATGGTGCCGTCTTTCTTTGGGGTGGGAGGATGGATAGAGTATGGGAGGCAAAAAGGTAGGATGGGATGGGTGTAGAGAAGGGATGCGGAGGTTTGGTACGGTAGGTCGGAGGTGAGGTTGTCACTGCTGTCCGGAGAAACAGTAGTGTTCGTAGTTGCAAACAAAACTTTGTTTGAGTTAATTGATTAAAGGTATGACAGCATCCAAATCAAAGCTAGAACTGAGTTAAAGCCGACAAGTCTGTCCGTCTCCGATGCGGTCTTTGTATAGCTGCACGTGACCGTCGGGGTGGTGATGCGGTTCGGCAACAACAAACAGACATCTTCTACACCTAACAAGCGACAAGATGGTAAGCATTGATATACTAAATCACGTTTCAGTGTGAGGATCTATCGCTTACACACAATAGGAGAGCCCTCACGAGCACCAGCAGAGTCTGATTCTTTCTCGAATCATCAACAACATTGTATGTCGGCGTTGAGGTCTACACTTGCAGTCCAGGACTGACAGATTCTACAGGAGAAACTCAATGAATCGGTGATGGTCATGAACAAGAGCCTTCAGGTATGCAGGTTCCTGCGCAAGATATGTCTATTTGGATTGATTCTGACTGCCAACAGGAGGTCAACATTCAGAACATGAACGTGGAATTGGTCGCGCAGATGTTCAAGAACTACCAGTCGAACGTGCTGTTCCACTTGGAAGGTATGGTATATATGTCTTCTGTGAGGTAGGATACGAGCTGATTGCAATAGCTACCGAGAACCTGAAGGAGCCGTCATAGTGCCCGGTCTCGCGTTTTATTTTTGATATAATTTGTTACGAAGCATGATGGATGGCAATTGGGACTCAATGAATAGAAATTTGCATATATACTCCTCTTCCTCAGTAGAATACTTCTTGTGTCCTCTTAAGATGCTGTATCAGTAGCGATATCTCTGATTGTAGTCTTGGCGGCATCAAACGGTCTCCGGATCTCTTCTGCGGAGCGCGACTTCAACCTTTCAACTCCCCATTGTCATCACCCTTTCCTCCCTTTTTTTCTATCAGATCAGCCTAATTCTTGAATATCTTCGCGATTGCGACCGCCTGCAATGCGCTTATAATCACATATCCCCCGAAAACCTCTAAATTCCCTCCGACCTACCTCCGCCTTCATACCACCGTCCAGTCGCCATGACCGTCACGTCGATTCAGAATGTCGTCCCCAATCGCCTCACAACCGACCCCACCGAGCGAAAGGCCGCGAAACCCCTTCCGCAGGTGTATAATGCCATAGACCACCCGTTCAAAGGGTACCACCCACCGCAGCCGGAGGGATACCAGCAGAGCAAGGCGAATCCGGACAGCAGTGCGATAGTTATTGATAATGGTGGGTTTCGTCTTTCCCTACGGTTCGAATATCTGGATGTCTTGTGAAAACTAACAAGGACATTGTGTACAGGCTCGAATCTCATCAAAGCCGGCTGGTCCTTCGACAAAACCCCCCGCCTAGTCTTCCCCCCTGTGATGGCACGATACCGTGATCGAAAACTCAACCGAGCATGTCAGTTTATCGGATACGATTCGTACGTCGATGCCACGACACGAGGACAGCTGCGGAATGCGTTCGATCCCGGTACGAGCGTGGTTGGTAACTGGGATGTTATGGAAGGGGTGCTGGACCATACTTTTATCAAGCTAGGTGTTGATGGGGCGAGTGGTGGTGTCGATCGGCCTATTGTTATGACGGAGCCGATTGCGAATTTGAGTTATCCGAGACGAAGTACGTTCATTTTCCAGGGTGGATGGTATATGTGAGTGTGGCTGACTGGTGGCAGTGATGAACGAGATTCTATTCGAGTGCTACTCTGCGCCGTCGGTCGCCTACGGAATCGATTCGCTGTTCTCATACCGGTATAATAATGGAAGGAATGGATTGATTGTCGATTCGTCCCATACCGCTACGCATGTTATTCCTGTTCTCGACTCGAAACCTCTCCTTTCGAACTGCTCGCGATTGAACTGGGGCGGTATTAACGGTTCCGAATACCTTCTAAAGCTGATGCGTCTCAAATACCCTACCTTCCCCGCACGGATGACAGAAAGTCAGATGCAAGATCTCGTCCACAACCACTGCTACGTGTCTAAGGACTATGACCAGGAGCTTGGCGGGTTTCTGGACTGGACGGGGCTCGAAGATCGAGACCATATTGTCCAGTACCCCTTCACAGAGCACGTCGTACCGGAGAAGTCGGAAGAAGAACTGGCGCGGATCGCAGAGCGGAAGAAGGAAAGCGGCCGTCGACTCCAAGAACAAGCCGCCAAGATGCGGCTTGATAAACTTATGAAGAAGGAGCAGGAATTGGAATACTACAAGGATCTACAGCGGGGTCTTGCCTCTGAACCGAAGAAGGAAATTAGACGCATCCTGGAAGCGGAGGATCTGAAGGATGAAGCGCATCTGGATCGATTGATCCGGGATTTGGAGCGCTCCATCCGACGGTCGAGGAATAAGGATCTAGGAATCGAGGAGAATGAAGAACCGGCTGAGGAAATGTCGTTTCCGTTGTTGGATGTTCCGGATGAGGAACTGGATGAAGCAGGCTTGAAGGAAAAGCGACACCAGCGGTTAATGAAATCTAACGTTGAGGCAAGACAACGTGCCAAGGCGGAGAAGGAGGCCGAGAAAGCTCGTCGCGAGGAGGAAGAGCGGTTGGATCGGGAAAAGCGCGAAAATGATTTCGAGTCTTGGATTGGCGAACGGCGACAGGCCCGACAGGTAAGTACATCGATGCAGTGCAACGATGACAAGTCTAACGATGAGTAGAGCGTCCTGCAAAAAATGAAAGAGCGCGATCGGATGAAGGCCGACCTTGGCAACCGCAAATCCCTCGCCAGCCAAATGCGCATGAAGACCCTAGCCAACCTAGCCTCAGATGGTCCGAAGAAGCGACGTCGTGGCGCAGATGACGACGACTTCGGCGCCAACGACGATGACTGGGGAGTCTACCGCACCGTCGCAACAGGCGACCAAAGCGACGAAGAGGAAGAAGAAGACCTAGGCGGCGCTCTCACCAACCTCGAAAACGAGCTCCTCGAACACGACCCCGACTTTACCGAAAACCACACCCTAGCAGCCCAATCCGACTGGACAAAGAGCATGGTGCACGTCTTCCTGCGGGGTCCCTGGCCATTCGACCCCGAGAGTCAACGCGAGGCACACCAGGTGCACCTAAACGTGGAGCGCATCCGAGTGCCAGAGGTGGTGTTTAAGCCGTCGATCGCCGGGATCGACCAAGCGGGGCTGGTCGAGGTGGCAGCGGACATTGTCAATCAGCGCTTCTCGAGGGGCGAGGACCGACAACGGCTGCTGCGGGATGTGTTTTTGACAGGTGGGAACACCGTTTTTCAGAATTTCGATGAACGATTTAGGCAGGATTTCCGTGAGCATCTGGCAGATGATGCGGAGTTGGTGGTTAGACGGGCTGGGGATGCAGTGTTAGATGCATGGAGGGGTGCGGCACAGTGGGCTTCGCAGGGTGAGTTGGGGAGGGTGTCGATATCCCGGCAGGAGTATTTGGAGAAGGGGAGTGATTATCTGAAGGTGAGTACCATATATTCGAGTATGGGGAATCTGCTAGAAGCTAACTGAGCCAGGAACATGAACTGGGCAACGCGATGTCGTGAAAAGTTACTCGGACATGCTGGATACCGTACTCTAGTACTTTACTTCCGATATAGGATAGAAAAATCTTCAATGGCAAAGTCAGAGACACGCAGATATCCAGAAATAGGCCATAGACTCTTCTGTGCTACCCCGCCCATGATTTCCTCAGCAGTAGCTACTACAGTCAAGCATCACTTGACAATCCTCTACCAGCAATCCCCGGAGACCCCATGGCAATCAGAAGCGAATGCAAGCCCCGCAATGCTACACTTGTATGGCTTGATGCATACAACCCCTTGTCGGTAACTCCAGATGCTAAGTACACACTAATCACCAAAGTAGGTGAACAGTCTCCACCGCCGCCTCGACTGACCATTTTTAAACATGAATAACTCCATGAATATACATCCGGCGTATACGGAAGTCAACAGCTATTCAAAACGACATGTGGGTGTTTAGGAATGACTTCAGTTTTCAAGATAAAAGCCATGAAACTAAACGAGCGAAATTGCAAGATGAAAAGTAAATACAAATTCAAAATTTCAAGCTGAGCTCAACAGAGCATCCGAGCCATCTAGCAGCTACATGGGCGGATCTGGCGCTTGCCGTCGTGTAGAATACTGTTTAAACGGGTTTCTAGCAATTTGAAGGGTTGTCAGCATTCTATAAATGTATATTTATTCTTATGTTTCGAATTTTAGACGATTTTACACTTCCAATTCTATATACCTTCCTTTCTATGTAAAAATGAAATATGTTACGGGACTACTTCTCTTTCCAATCGTTCCACTTATCCCTCTCTCTCTCTCTCTCTCTCTCTCTCTGCCAGTGCAAGTCCCACATTGCACGAGTTTCAGAACACATTCATCCAGCCGAACACTAAATGCCCAATCAGTCATATCGTTCATAGATCCGTTCTCCACAGAGGGCCGGGGAGACACGGATTCCCAGACAGCGTACACCGTTGTACATGGTTCTAGGCTGTGGAGACATGTGCCCCCGCAGTGGCCGTGGCTGCAGTAGCGTCAGTGGGGTGGTCTGGCTTATTGTGAGTTCATTATGTAGACAGTATCAGTATTGGGGTGGAGCATCGGGATCATATTCAAAGTGTTCCTTGATAATACCCTTCTCTTTTAACTCGTCCCATCCAGCACGAGGGCGGTCAAAGTTAGACTCAAATGCATCCTTCTCCGTTCCAAACCCCATATCTTTTGCTTCGCCCAGTGCCCGGAGAAGCCTTCCATTGAGGAGCGATCGCGAGCACGTGCATCGCAATGCGAAAACCACGGTACTTTTCTCGGAGCAGGAAACTGCTTCACGCCGTACAAGAAGGCGTCCTCGTCACTCTCGGCAGCTAGCACATTATTTTGCTGACGGAGTAAATCCTGATAATATTCCCAGCGCTCTCTCAGCGGAGGCTGAGCGTAAACCTGCTCTCTGCGCGCAACATGATCGGGGCGGTCCACATCTGTACCCTTCCGTTGTCTCAGGTCGTCAAGATTGTCTTCGCATTCGCGTTTAAACCACTTAGGACACCCGTCATCCGAATTCATGGCGCTCAAAAACCTCCTCCTGCCACATAGAGCCGAGGTTTCTAGCCCACTCTCTAGTATTTTCAGGATCTTCCTCATCCGAGAGTAATCCATTTCCCTCATCGGGTTGATCGATTCGTGGTGGGCCCCTAACCAAGCGCGCCTCGCCCCAGATGATCTCAGTCACCCTGTGGCGAAACTTGTTGTGGCCTGCAATACCGCAAAAGACTTCAATGTTCAGTGGGTTGGCGGACAAAAAGACCCGCTGAATGCATTGCTGAACTGTGTACATGCGAGGCGTAGAGACTTGATGTCCGGGTTGGACAAGTGTGATGAGACTGATTCCCATAGCTCGAAATGGAGCGCGGGGAAGCTGTTGGAAGTCATTTGGCTGGAAGTGGCTTCGCTAGGATGGTCGAGATCTCGGCCATGTTGCACCTTGTCTCCCCGATGTCCGCCCGAGTGACCAAGGAGACCTAACCCGTCTATGCTGAACGGTCCCCTTACAGTTGTACACCTACTTTACAAAGGTTATGTATGTTGATCAGGAATATATCATGGCAGCAATACACAAATTTCGGGGGCGTGCTCACGAGCAGCAAGCATCAGTCGGCATTCGGGGCGTGCACTAGATACTCAAAGGATAGGTAGGTACATATACTTGTTTGCAGGGATAGTAATCGGGCAGTAACTTCTCCCCCTAACATATAGCCAAGCGCATAAGCATAAGAAACGGTCGGAATACACGGGAGAATATACTCAAGTTCTCAACTGACGACAACCAATGGCAAAAACAACACGGCACATGCAGAAACTCAAAATTGGACTAAATACTATTCAACTTATTCGCAAAGCTATGTATCGAGTAAGTCAGTCCGAGAAAAGTCCTTTTGATCAGATGGCCTGCATGCCGAGCATTCCGATGTGCATTGAATAAGCATTTTCCCTGCTATAGTACGGGTGATATAGTCGCCTGGTGATCATGAGATTTCCGCAGGCATGTCCGAGTACTGACAAGCCCGTTGGTATCATGGCAAACATCATAATACTAGCATCCACAATATCGATATTTGCAGTATGGTCAGTATGGCGTGGATAAGATCACCGAGGAACCCCCGAGAGGAACCCCACAAGGCTGAATTCTGTCCAAAGTATACAGAGCGCGGTATCCGGATATCAATCAACCTTTCGCTATGTAAACCATGCTCACTCAAGTAATTTCCGTGCGATGCCGGCATTGTCCTGGTTTCGAATACCATTACCACACAGTATGTATGTAGCTCTGTGTTGCCCCTCCGGAAACCCGCAGATCCTGATTTGTGACATTCGGGATATGCAGGATCCATGCATCGCACTCTATTCGACAGTGAGGGGAACCTGTAGTACAAGGGCCTACATATGATGATTTGGCAGAGCTATTTTCTGTACTCTAGTCTCTCGGGGAATGACCTGACTGACCTGGCTTGACCCGTGGATCCGTCACTGTTTCTGGACTGACGCAAAAATCGGATCACAGCCCGATGTGATGTTTGTTTGATGTGACCCGGCTGCTGTGCTAGGACAGGACATAAATTGGGTGGCTTTCCTGCTTTTCCTCGGTTCGTTTTTCTCTTCAGACATACAGAGTTGAACTCGGTTTAGTTGCTTTTGATACCCCGTTACCCTTGATTCGATACTCAGCAGAGTATACTTGTACAGTGCAAAATGGTGGCCATTTCCAAATCGCTTCTTCGTCCTTTTCAGCTCATTACTCGCGTTCTGCAGTGGTGCAGTGCCGTTATTGTGATGGGTATCACGTCCTACTTTATTCACAGGGGGCCTCGTGGGCAGCACATCATCTACCAGGAAGTCATCGTACGTCCTTCCATCCCTATCCTCCTGAGCTATGGATGCTAACATGTACAGGCCACCATGTCCGTCGTCTTCTTCCTCCCCGCCTTCCTCTCGCCTTTCATGCCCAAGGTTGTCTCCGGCTTTGTGTTCTTCATCGACGTCATCTTCTCCTACCTGTACGCCCCCATACCCCCCCTGTCCATCCCATATGCAAGACAAGGGTATCTATTTGCTAACACTACATCTAGCTGGCTGACAGCCTTCATCTTCGCGGCCCAAGACTACAACTGGCTCCAGTGCAGATTCTTCGCTCCCCCCGGTCTAGCCTGCTCCAGGAAATACGCTAATGAGGCGTTCATCTTCCTCGCTTTCATCTTCACCTTCTTCGGCATGTTCCTTGAGGTTTTGTCACTTTGGTCTCAGCGTGAGGAGAACCCGCATCGGGAGAAGGACGGCCATGCGACGCCGGCGCCGCCTGCGGCGACTTCTGCGGTCTAAGTATTTGCTAGGTCGGTTGCTGCATGGCTAGCTGGTGGGTGGGCAGTATGACCGTCCAGTGGAGGTGTCAGCTGCATGTGCATGCGCATGCGTATGCATGGTGACTTGGGCATTGAGTGCCTTTGATGGGTTTGGCTTATTTGCTATACCATCGTCTTATCGTCGATATCCCTATATTCTCAGGTAATTCTTATGCCGATTCATGACTATGACTACGAGGGAACGTCAACGTGGGGGATTGACTTGGTCATGAATGGTACTTGACTTATTGGTTCGATCTAATGCTAATATAATATCCCTGTCGTTGTATTGTTGATGCTTATTGTGTTGGGCATGAATACTCTTTACTGTATATGCTAATGGTGAGAATAATGACTCTATTGTACATCTTACTCCTAATGTATAGGCTTGCCACGATGTACCATGATATAAGAAGATGTCATATGTGAGACCCCTTGCCTCTTAACAGCATTTTAAATGCCTACATCGTTATTACATGTTTATGACATTTTATCTGGTCAGCTGGAATCTACGTCTCATTGGCTGTTTCCCCTGGATTGTCCTCTCTTCCATGGTTGTAGCCCTAGGTTATGATTGTACTATGGCATTGTGAACGCATACCGGCACCGTAGTCCATGTAACAATAGTGGATAGTATATTTACAAGCAGTTAGATAGAAGATGTTGCTGAGATCAGCTGCACATTGGCTGACTACTTCGAAATATATACCGGGGTCTCCGTCAGATCTATGATATGCCCACCCCCATGTCCAACGAATATATAATGCACTTAAGGTTTATTCTCCGACTGCACAAAACTCGACTGTTCAAAACTCGACTGTACAAAAATCTCCTGATCCATCCTACCACCCCCATCCCTATCCCTAACATTACCCAACCTCCCTATCCTCCCTATCCTCCCACCCACCGTAACATCATTCGTCAACCCAATCTCATCATCCTCCGCACCCCGCCACTGTCCCCGATAAATACTCCCACCCTTCCACGGCCTACTCACCGACGCAGAATTGGATTTCTCCCTCGAACCCAGACTAGTAAAAACGGACTCGTGGACTTGCCTGGCGAGAGGTGCTAAGTGCGGTAGACAGGCGCAGACGATTGCCACGCAGGGTTCGATGGTGGACCAGATGAATACCGGGCCCATGAACCAGGTGACGTCGATTGCGTGTGTGAAGAGGGAGAGGTAGTGGATGCGGACGATGCTGGCGACGCAAGCACTGTATGTGTTAAGTCTGGTTAGCTTGACATGGATTGGGTTTTGGGGGTTTGTTTCGCGCTTACAAGAGGCCCACTGCCATAATCCCACAAATAGCAACCTTTTTCCGTATGCTCATCTGCAGCGTCACGATCCGCGGAAACGGGATCAGGAGAACGATGAAATCATTCAACATATTGATAATCCCCAACGCGAGAAAGAACTGGTTAACATTGATACACTTCCCCTCGGCACCGCTAAACTTGTTCCAGAAATATGATACCGGCCGGCAACAGTTCGCCATGGTCACCCAGATCGTGAGTGGATATGAGAGAGTGAGGAAGAAACCGAAGCAGATGACTATTTTGAGGGCCGGATCGAGAGGCGTGAAGACGCGGAGGTAGAACATTAGGATGGAGATTTTGGTGGAGGCGCAGGCGGCTGCGTAGACGAAGGTGTATGCATATAGGACCTGTATGTTTTTGTGTGAGTAGGGTGGGCGACGTGTGGATTATGGAGTTGACTGACTTTGAATATCATAGTCAGGCTGTCTAGAGTGTTTCCCCAAACATGCTTCCCGGCTCCTACGGCGCCGCCTGAGTTACTCAGGCCAGCTGTTGCACCTACAAGTAGCTATTTAGCACCTCGTCAGCAAATACCTCATTTACAGTCCCGAAAGCAAGAACATACCAAAGCGATTAGAATCGCCCAGTCATCCGCCATCAAAGGATTCCGCAGCGATATCCTGGCAACAAATCGCAGAATAACCGCTACAGCCGCCAGGCATAAGAGAGCAATGACTGCGGCATTGTTCTCTCCTATACGGCTGTCGGCCACATAAATGCTATCCGGCGGCGGACCGAAAATCGCCAGAATGGCTGAATTCAAAGCCATGCCATGTGGAAGATGTCACTCCGTGGAGCACGCGACAGTTATCTTTATACGTCTACTTTAGGCCATCTAGGCCCACCTCCTTGGATATGCTATGCGGCTCAGTAATAGCATATGCCAAGGATATTTCAATTCACGTTGCTAACGATAGAGGCCACTCCTAGAAGCGACGCATACCTCTCTCTCGATGAATCACATTAAGCAGGGTATGTATATTATATATGGACCCTCTTTCATCCATGGGCAGTAGCGTGGCCCTTGAAATTGAGATATACATAGCAAAAAGAGCCGATTCGACGGAATGTGGAGCCGAAGCGACTAAAGAAAACCTCCAGACTTGTTTAACTAGCGACACGGAACTTTTGTTGGTGACTGCGGCAAGTGCTGCGGCAAGCGCTAACTCGGTTAGGGTTGGTTTGGTCTAGCGGTCTAACGGTCTCCGGGCGATGCTCACAAAGTCCCGATCAGCACGGACCGGAGCGAGTTCCGACTCGGGGTACTTGTGCTAATGGGAGGATTTCATGTTGTGGAAGGATCGCGGGACACTTAGCGACCAAGGGTACTTGGTGAGGGAAATGAGATATCCAGGGCCGTCAGCAGGATCCTTCTTGTTAAATAGAAGAAATAGCCAGCAAATCATTGTCTGCGGAATACGGGTCATGGAATGGAAGACAAGGAGGAAAATAAGCGAAATTGCCTCGCCATTATTCCAGACTGTCACAAGCCGGGCTGCTACAAACTAGAAAAAGTACCTCCTCGTTTATTGAATGTCCGGGTATGTCGTGTTCCCCATCCGGTTCATTGGCTATAGTGAACAGGGGGGGGGGGGGGGGGGGCTTAAATAGAAGAGTAACAGCTAATCAGACTATAGGAGTACTGGGTAGGATAAATACAAAGTAGTTCCCCTGTCGCGTAGACGAGTCTTTCTTTGTCATTATCACTTCAACAAAGAACAAAACTCACAATGGGTTCGATTCTAGATTACAATAACGCCTCAGTCCCAGCCCTCACATCCCTGGAACGCATCGGCCCCAAAGGATACCTCCGTTATGTCTTCCCGTTCCAGCTCGCCGAAGACTACAATATCGATGCAGTCGCTACAGTCCTGAGGACTGGATACGACGCCCTCAAGGGCCGCATTCCAGTCGTGGCCTGCGAGGCCATTCCCGATCTCAACTCGAAGCAAACCGGTGTCCTGAAACTGCAGAGACTCGATGGCTCAGATATCGAAGATATTGTAGTAAAGGATCTACGAAACTCCGATACCTTCCCGCAACACTACTCAGAGCTCAAAGAGAAAGCCTTCCCCGTGGCTGCTTTTGATGGAGACATCTTATGTCGCCGGTCCGTTTGGCCAACTCCCGGAGAGAGACTACCGATATCCCTCGTACAGGCGAATTTCATCCGCGGCGGCTTAATCCTCACATGGTGTATCCTACACATGGTTGGAGACGGGACATCATTCTATACTTGGACAAAGGTCTGGGCTGATGAATGCCGGCGTGCGCTACAAGAATCTTTCGAACCAGTCCATCTCGACGAGGCCATTTGGCGCGACAGAAGTCGCATGATGATGCCCTCTGGTCGGAATTTTGGGTTCCTGAAGACGCATCCGGAATACACTCTTCTTCCTTTCACGCCAGCAGGTGCGCCGCCGAAGATGTTATCGCCTCACCACCGCGGCCAGGTCTTCTATTTCTCGCCTGCGGCGCTCAAGAAACTAAAGGCGGAGGCGTCCCCGGCTCGCGCAACAGTGCCATCAGACCAACCCTGGATCTCGACCAATGATGCCCTCTCCGCGCTACTCTGGCGCACAGTCATGACAGTGCAGTCACCGCTTGACACTCTAAAAGGCAATCCAGTATCCGTCTTCAACATCGCCATAGACGGCCGCCAACGAACAGACCCACCCGTCCACCCCGAAACCCAAGGCTGCTTCCTCGAATACATCGCCGTCTCCCTCCCCGTCCGCAAAATCCTAGGCTCACAAAACATCGCCGACCTAGCAACTCTAATCCGCAAAGCAGTCCTCCGCGCAAACAACAAATACACAGAAGATGTGATGACTCTCGTCGAACAACTCGAAGATGTCGATAGGCTAGTCCCAACAGCATTTCTGGACGTGCCCGGGTTCAACTGTATTCTGAGCTCGTGGGTCGGGTTCGAGTTGTATCCGTTGGAATGGGGCTCGTTGCTTGGGAAGATTGAGGCCGTGCGGACGCCGAGTGTGGGTTGTATTAATGGGTTGCAGATTGTGCTGCCGCCGTTGCCGGATGGGGGTGTTGAGATTTTGATGGGGGTTGAGGAGGGTTGTTTGGGGAGGTTGTTGGAGGAGCCTTTGTGGATGGAGTATGCTGTGGCGAGGTAGTTTTTGATTCTCTGTGGTTGATATATCTAACTAATTGCTTACCTTGAATATAAAACCCAAATAATTCCAGTGCATCAGTATCTCGATATCTACGTGTACCAAGTGAATACAAATACCTCGGTCTATGGCCATTAACTGCCCTTGTTTAGAACAATCACATATTTAGCCGTCCTCCGACTAAGATTTCCCGAACACACATACATACTCACAGTCAAACGTGCAGGCAATGTGACATCCAAATTCCCATCAACATAAGCTACTTCGTCTATCTTCCTTTCAAATCATCCACTTTGTGGTTCTATCCCAACTGATCGATCTAATGCTCTACTCAGAATCTGCGTGCTATTCCGCATCATATAACTATACGGAGATACCAAGGCCGGAAATCTTGCGAGATAGGTGACGTGAAGCCAAGATGAAATAACACAAATGAGTATGCTCTAACGAACTACCACGTCGTTAGACCTGCTAAACTTCGTAAAGAGCAAGCCGACCAGACTTCCTACAGAACCTTGACAAGTCCGGCACTTCGCTTTGCTTGAATTCCCCTCGACTGACACCAAAAATTTGTCTTTTGTAGAAATGGTCCTCCTGGCAAGCTCGATCAGGGTTAAAACTTGAAAATGCCCTGCAGACCCTAAATCAATCACCATTTTTACTACCGCGGTGACACGGTACAGCTCAGAACAGCATTCGAAAGCGTGACTTGTGATAGCGGACAGATGGCCAGCCAATGTCCGAAGGGATGTCACAGCTGTAGAACGCATGAGAAAGCAAGCCCGAAATCCTAGACAACGCTCTTGCAACAGAGTTTCTCGAGGAGTCATGGACTGGGCCCTCATAAGGCTGGACGAATTGCTTTGCACGAATAAGATATTCGCCGTACACTAGCCTGTTGTACCTGGTACGGATGGGCCAAAACACGATACGATGTAAATTCCAAGGCCGTCGACATGCAGGGCATCTCTAAGAAGTTTGTAATTTGTTGCAAGAAGCCTGGGGAGGTCTCTCATGAGCAGGACTCTTTCGCACACGATGAGGACTCAGGGTCATTTGTTCTCAACGATCAGGGCAATGTGTTTGGTGTCTTGTATGGCGCCCGTGTCGGGCTTATTCGGAAGGGACAAATTCTTTGTGAATACTGGTTTGGCGATGAGCACCCCGGAGCTTACCTCGTCAATGAAGGTGAAGACTGCATCGAGAGATAGTAACTGCAAAGTCTGTTCAGTTGGGGTTATCGGTTTGGCCTCCCTCCAACGACTAGTAGAGAGTCTCTTTTGTCTTTTGGCAACCTTTTTATTTTTGTTTTGCCTTGCTTTTGTATACCTTTCATCATCAAGGAATCCATTGCTATGGTTTTTTTTTTTTTTTTTTTTTTTTTTTTTTTTTTTTTTTTTTTTTTTTTTTTTCCCGCGACTGAGTTCCCAATACACCACACACCATCCGTGAATGATAACCTTTTTGACGCCGTTAGACCCCTGGCTCGAAGTTGAGCCTGGACTGCACAGCCAAGCCAGGACGATATTCATATTTCTTCTTTCTGACTTGAACACGGAGCATTAGCTCCAGCGCTTACATGAGCGTGAGGGAATTTGGGAGGATAATTGATTATACAAGCCACATAGTCGAAAGCAAATGTAGCCATCAGCTCAAGTTGACGGCGGAACAGATCAGACAAGATGCAAATACAGAGGTAAAAAAGCAAGACCTCCAGGATCTACAGCTACAGATTTCTGAACAATCACAGGACAAGGACATGGACTTGGAGGCGCAAATCGATACCCTTAAAGAGTAAGCACCAGGGCCTAGGGCAGCGTTTGATCTGTTGTGTTGCTCACTTTGGTATGTGTGCGCCTAGATCTCAGCTGGGGTACAAGAAATGTCCGTTCTTGACTCATCTATGAGCGAAACACAGATATGTTCCAGTTAAAGTATTCATTTCTACCATGTACAAATACTATATCATATATACAAATTGGTATCATATCTTCATGCAATCAATCAGTCAAGCAATCAATGTGTTGAACAAAGTCAGTCAAGCAGTGCCCTAACTCCGCGCTTGCATATATCATAACAGCATTTGCCAGTACGCTGTACTGGACAGAATATTCATTTTTAGAACGGAGGAGCGGGGGATAACCGGTAATTAAAAGACGATCAAATACTAGCCCTCCGCGGCGCCATAGTCCTTTGCAACTTCTTCTTTTCCTCCGTTTCCTCGGGGATAGGCAACGAGCCCTCGCTCCTGAGTCTCTCAAGATACTGTTTTCCGAAATTGTATCCGAGTTGATAGATCTCGTCGAACTTGCCAAATTCCAGCGTCCCGTACGGATCAATCGGTGGACGCATGTACAAACAGCCAGGCATAGTCTTGGCCCTCTCCAGATTGTCAATCGACGAGACGTACGCAAGACGTGCTTGGATTTCAGAGAGAGTGGGCGGATTGGGAATCGAGGAGAACGGGTTCCAGCGGTTGACGACGCTCCAGAAACCAGATAGCGAATCACCATAGGCTTGCGGGGTATTGTCGTCAATGGAGCCGACGTCGACGGCGAAGATGACGTCCGCGCCTAGACCCTTCATATGCGAGACGGTAAGGTTGTCGATGTAGCCACCATCCACAAGCATGCTGCCTTCATCGCACATCGGGGGGATTAGACCGGCTAGCGTCATTGAGGCACGGATGTATCGCCAGACGTATCCAGATGAATGGAACTCTGCACGGGAGCGGCTTAAGTTGGTTGTGTTGCAGTAGAACTCCAGCCAGAAGTCTTCGATCTGGCTATCACCAAAGGTCTTGAAAATACCACGGTTGAACTCATGGCCGGTCGTGTAGGAGACAGTCGGATATGTGAGATCCAGTGCAAATCGCCACATACTGCCCATACGTCCGGCAAATTTCTTCGCTCGACCATACATCGGAACCACATCCGCATCACGCGCATAAAGAGCACCGATAAACGAACCAATCGATGTACCACCAATAATGTCAATAGGAATACCCGCCTCTTCAAGCGCCTTAATCACGCCAATATGCGCAATACCGCGGGCGCCACCTCCACCAAGTACAATACCAACAGACCGTCCACAGAGCCGTCGTGCCAAACGGTGAAAATCACCCTTGAATGGCGTGTGCGCAGAGTAGAGCGGTGTCTGGCGAATCCGCCGTGAAGTGTATTTCTGGATTTCCGCTTGGATGACCTGCACGCGCTGCTTCAGAACAGTACCCAGGCGCTTGTTGGCTTGGGGATGTGACGGTTCGGTCGTCAATCGGAATGCCATTTGGATGTGGTGATGGCCTCCATTAACCCACACCCGGTTCTTCAGCCACCGGCGGGTTATTCCTGGAGGGCAGTACCGTTCAGCATGCAGCAGTACGAGCTCCTTACGGGCTGTTGTCTTCATTCCCAGCAGGAACCGCTCGTATTCTCCGATGTTCGGGGATGATTCTGCCAGACCAACCAGCAGAATGCAGTCCGCCTGCGTGATGCATGTTTGAGTCCACGGCGCATTCACGTTGGTGTCTGCGATGTACAACACCATGCCGTACTTCTCTTCCAGGTCAGCTAGGTACTGTGACAGCTTGAGCTTGCCCATCTTCGTAAACGCATGCCGACCCAGGTGATTGAGAATAGCCGCCTGGTTCAGCGATGTCACTCCGTTGGACACACCAATCTGATGCAGCGCATGCAGTAGCCTGTGTCCAAATTCCACCACTGGAACGCCAGCGGTAACCGGTAGGATACAAACCGTGCGAAGGTTAATCGTCGACGTCGCGGTCTTGACACTACCCGCGTTGCTCTGCTCCATACCCTTCTCAGACACAGGGTTCTCGACCAAGTCGCGCATCCGCTGAGCAATGAGCTTTGAGACCTGAATCGTAATCCCTGGGTGTTCCTGCGCGAGACTATTGAACAGCGACCTGGGGAACTTGGCCAATTCAGTGGCCCGGATGGCATGTAGCGTGCCAGGACGGGTCGACTCTGTCATCACTTCCAGCTCACCCACACTCTCTCCTTGACCATACTCACCAACCACGGTCACCTTGCCATTCACTCCCTCCAAGACAGACCGCAGGCGGCCATTCAAAACGAGATAGATTGCATCGCTTTCGTCACCTTGGTGGTAGATCACCTGTCCAGCGTTTACCTGCACCCATTCGAGGGCAAAATCGATATGAAGCAACAACGGCGGGAGCAGATTGGTCAACCGCTTGGCCAATGTCATTTGAGCAATTGGATGCCGTTCCGCGATTCTCTCCAGCGATGACCGCGGTAAAAATCCCACCCAAACATCAGTTTTGGCGACCACATCAGTATACGACCGGTAGGATGCAACAGCGCCCACGTATCCCTGAATGCCGCCGGGCTTGATCATGTAAAGCGACTTCCGCGATTGCTTCTTCCGCTTATTGCTGTCAGCCGTGCCGGTGACGGCGAAACTCCGCGTGGATCCTGTCGTGGTGCGTTTAAGAGTCGGGAATGGCTCCTCGGACGATCTGGACATGAAGGTTGGTCTGGAGGTTCCAACCAGGTCTTCTCCCTTGTCGGTCACGGGGATTCCTACATCCAAGAATCCGTCGACGACATAGTATAATCCAGGATGGCGCTCTCCCTGCTCAACCAGAACCGATCCCTGGGGGAAGTAGACAATCTCAATATCACTCCGGAGCTCTTCTTTCAGGTTGAAAATAGGCGAAGTGCCGCCAGCGCTAGTTACCGACATGGACATCATCGAGTCTGTTTCGCCTTCTCCGGAGCCCTCATACGGATCGATAAATCCAAACGCATTGCTGAATATGGCCTTTTGGCGCCGCGAATCATACGAAAGAAGTTTCGGAGATGCATCGCCTGAGTGACTACTCTTGCGAAACGCGTCACGAGTACTACCACTGAGTCCGATGCCTTTCATGATGCAGTCGAGAATGGCATCCCGGAACAGGACATCCTCATCGATGGACGATTCCTTTCGGTGGAGATGTGGTGGCCGAAAAGGCGATTGTTCCTGTTCTGCCAGAGGAGTCTGGAATCGCGGGGCTAGATGGTCGTATCGCGGTCCGAATCTAGAGAGCTGGATGGTAGACAGCAAATCACCGGGACTGACTCCGGTGTCGCGTTCAGTCATATTCAAATTCTCCTGACCAATAACCGAAGCAGGACGCCGAGAAGATGCCATTTTCGCATGAAGAGCAGCCTCCTTGCGCAAGCTAGTCGTGGAAATACGTCTTCTTCCGAGAGAAGGATTATGCAGCGCGATGCCTTTGGTGATCTCCTCGGGTCCCAATCGATCTCTTTCTTTGATAAATTTGTCCTTCAAACGATCCAGTGCGGCGCCTCGCATCTCATTGGGTAGATCGTGGTTCGTATACTTGGCCATCTGTTGTTCAATGCCCAACACTTCGCTACTGAGACCCAGATATGAATGCGCCGTGGCGAATGTAACCCGCTGCAGACGAGTAAGAATGACCTGGATGATCTGAGCAGTAGCTCGAGGATAGACTCTTGTTAAGCGGCGGAAAGCACTGGCAGGGATTATAGCAATCGTCGTATCCACCATCGCACGGGCGACGATATCCGGATGGACCGACTTCCGCCTCTTTTTCCTTGGCAGTTTCCTGGGCCCTCGAGGAGAGTCCTGTGCACTCTCATCCAGATTAAACGGTGGCACAGTTGGTAATTCCCCACTTCCATTGAAATGAGGGGTGGAATCACTGCGTCCTCTTGCTGTAGCCAAAGGACTATCGGGCGCCATCGAACCATGTGGACTCGCAGGGAATGAATCGGGCTCGCGAGATGCGCTTGCGCTCATTGGAACGTTACTAGGGGTGCTTGATCCGGTGCCCTCTGATGCGCGGAGTTGAACATCTTCGGTGAACAGTGATAGAATGGAGAACAGAGACGACATGGATGCACCATTTTTGACCTCTGTGAGCAATTGATACCCCTGTTTCCCTTCAATGTTGTCACCTTCCTCGTCCGACCATTCATTATCCATCACATGCACATCTTCGTTGATTCCTGGTTTGCGATCCCGAATCGATTTGACAAAGATCTGGACCAATCCATCCACCACTAAGCAAAAACCCTTTTCTTCCTCCAACATGAGTGTCTCTCCAGCGATCAGTTTCCGCGTCTGCATTGTGCGGGTCAATTCGTGGAAAACGGGTCGCTCCAGATATCCAAAGACCTTGATGGCGCTGAGGAACTCATCGAGGTAATTGGCCAGACCGGGCTTCGAATCACCTTCATGGACATCGGTGAAGAGGTCAAGTTGGGGTTCTTTCCGTTGTGGTTCAGGAGGAAGACGGCTGTACATGTTCAGGAACCGGTAGCGAATGAACCAACTGATGGTCGAGACAAGGACCAACAGGATTAGGAGTCTAGAGTACATTATTTGATAAGCCAATGTGATTCAATTACCGGTCGGAATTAAATATTAGGGACAATGACTACGACTTACAAGGTCGTGAAGTTCATGGTGAAGGTCAAGCTCATGGAAAAGAGCGTAAAGAGCCATGTTGGGAGCGTAATAGTGCAGAAGGTGATGATCCAGTAAAGTATGCTCGGGACGACCTGGAAAAAAAAGGTAAACAACCAGCCAATCCACCCGGCCATGGTTGAGGGTGCTGGAGGCGATGACAGAGGTGGGGGTGGCAGATGGGAAGCCGCAATGCCTGTCACTCCCGATAAACTTGCGGTTATGGCGGGGGCTCGAGCAGCGTGTGAAAAGGCCGAGGAGAAAGTAAGCTCGTTCGGGGGTTCCTGCAGCGAGGAGGGCAGCAATTGGGGTAGATTATCCAGGCCTCCGCCGTTGGCCATAATGGTGCCCTTGTAGTCCCTGAATAACCGGAAATGAAAAGCGAGAGGGTTATTGTTTTCCCTGACAGGGTGTGGATCGAATGTGCGAGAACCGGGCGACGAATGCGGGAATGACGTTGAATCCTGGCGGAACTTGGCACAAGTCCAATCTCACACTCCACGGCTGTATCGAAGCTCAATGTCTCGCAGAATTGACCATGACCCTGGCTCTCATTGCGGCCAACGTGCGCGCAGAAACAATGTTGGCTGGTGGGTGTCTGTCAACGGCCCGCGCGGACAGCCAAGCAGCAGCCAATCTGGACCCGCGATCAAAGCGACGGAACGAGGGTTTATTCGGAAGACTGTTCGGATCGAGCGATAGAGGAGGGTATGGAGGGTTGGAGGGTTGGAGGGTTGGAGGGTTGGAGGGTTGGAGAGTTGGAGGGTTGGACGGAGGAGATGGTAGGAGGACGGTCAACCGCGACGGACGGAGAGCGTGAAGGCGGACGGCAACGTGATTCGTTTTGCCGTGGCTGCGAAGGTTCAGCTGATCGGGTCACGAATTGACGAGGTAGCACCAGTGGTATTTAATGTGTTGCAGTTGAGGGTAGAACATTGTTGGAGTAGTTTGAGTTGTAAGTATGAGTATTCCGTCTCAATTGTCCCGTGACCTCGCGTGATGCAATCGGTAGTCACCCCCGGATCTCACAGCATCTTCCCCGGATATGCAGTGGCTTATACTACGCTCTATTAACGTCCAGTCATTCTGTCTCGTGTAGAGTACCTGCCTGTGCCTGTACTATTCGGGCTCATCTTTCTGGCTTTATTGTGGCCTCAGATGTCTATTGTCACGTGCTTTATATGTGCCTGAGGAACATAGGTTGCCTATAATACACATCTGCCTATCATGTCTCCATTCACTTTCCTTGACAAGTCACGAGTACAAACACTATGGCTTCTCCAAATTCCTGTTCTCTGCACGAGGCTCATGAGGGCAAAACCACCATCGAGAGATACATCTGCGACTCTGACCCTTACCGGTCCACGACTGCCGATTCCACTGCCTTTTCCTTTGGCTATGGAGAGCTCTTCTGAGCTTGAGCTTCGTCTCCGTTTTCTGCAGCTTCAGATTCACCAGGACTTGAGAGACAATGGACTCTCCAGCGAGACCCATGTGATTCCTTACATGGTGAGCAATCCATTTTATCCTGGCTTCGATACACCTCAGAACATGCTATGTGTGATCTTACAGGAAAATGAACAGGTTTCTCCCATGTTCGACCCTGCAAAGGGTGAGCTTTTGGCTCTGCTTCAAAGCCATAACATCAACGATGTTCATGTCGAAATACGGGACATAGACCTCAGTTTCAGTGCTTTGTTGTTCGCAATCCTACCAAACCATCCGATCGTGATGATCTATTGAGGATGTCAAACATGAGATCATCGACATTCTTCGCCAGAATATACCCTCCGAGTGGCATCTTTTCTATGTCTTCCGGGTAGGTCAAATGGAGGAGACAGCAACCCCCTCATTTGTTGTCCTAGTTGACCCCATGACTTCAGCGAACTGGTCACAATTAAACCTAGAGACCAAGTCTATTATCTTCAACAAATCCGGGCAGTCTCTCAACTTGCATTTCTTGCCTGGAGATATTCCCTTCCTCAAGTCGCCGGGTGTCTCTTTCCTGAAACAGAATGGACACCCCCCGGATGCCCGCGATGGGCGATTCTTTGGGACTCAAGAGGTGATGACAAGGCGGGCACACTTGGAGGCTACGTTACTTGGTCACAAGATGGGAAGACAATCAAGTGCGCCCTCACAAACTATCACGTGGTGCGTTATAGGGTGGAATTGATGGGACCTAGTGGCAAGGCCTTCTTGGACCAGTCCGGAGCGTCGCCCACGTCACGACCAGGGGTAAACATCACCGTTAAGACTTTCGCCGATGTGGATCGTCAGACGAGCTTAGCGCAAGCCAATAATACCGTGAAGGGGCTACGCCACCAGCTCTCTATAACGCAAGAAAACATCATCAAGCGCGAGTCCTCCGGCATGGATCCACTGCTCCACCACCTTGACATTTTAAAGAACAATCAGCAGACCTTTGAAAGGTTGGGGCAGAAGCGGAGCATACTCGAGGCAATGCCGAAAAAAATTGGGGACGTGATTGCCACGTCCGGCAAGGCGGTTTTGGGAAAATGGCTAATGGACTGGGCATTGATCAGACTGGACGAAGAAACTGAACAATATTTTTCCACGAACAAAATGTTCTCCATTCCATGGATTCAATACCCAGTAGATTATGGTGTCGTGGCACATCCCATGCAGCCCGGTTTCCCAATCACCGAATTCGGGTCCCTCAAAGAGGGAAATTGGTACACAAAACTGGGCCGAACATCTAGTGTGACTACTGGTGTATGCAACGGCGCCTTGGCCTGCTGCAACTGGAAGGAGTGGTACAAGATACAGAATGATCACAGTATCCAAGGTGTAGATTTGACCGATATAACAGAGTTTGTGGTCGTCAGCAGCATAAGGGGGAGGCGTTGCGAGAGCAGACCTGCTTCGCTGATAACGGCGATTCTGGCTCGTTTGTCCTGGACCACGATGCTTGCGTCTGTGGTCTCCTTTATGGAGGCATGCCCAGTTTCTTCGACCGCAATCGGTACTTCGCAAATGCCGGTCTGGTGATGAACATACCCGATCTTACCGAGTCCATGAAGCTCGAAACCATGGCTAGAGATGGCAATGGTCAGGTTTGCTCTGCTGGTGTCCTCGGCCATTCTGACTATGAACGGGGCTGACGCATGGCGGACATGATCCGGATAGGAGGACTGCTCCATTTAGAGCGGACCTTTTTCCTGTCGATTGGAGACTGCTGCCCAGGGTTGTCCTTCTATCTAGCTACTAACGTAATCCACGGCCGAGCCGTCCACACGGCCGTCCCGTCCACTTCCTCCGCAATTTTCCAACAATCATACTTCAACGCGTCATTTTGTCACCACCATCATCTAAAATGCCTCTTTCTCAAGAAAATCGAATTCAAATGGCCATCAGCGCGTATAGAAGCAAAAAAATTCAATCAAAATCAAAGGCAGCAGCAGTTTTTGGGGTGCCAAAGTCTACTTTTATTAATCGGCTTGATGGAATCCAACCACGTTCAGAAACACGTGCCAGTGGCCATAAATTGACTGCCGTTGAAGAGGAATCTCTTGTCAA